AGACACAGACACATTCACATGCTCCGAAGTTGACATTGAGTTTGGATACAACTTCATTATGGATGAGCCGGTGACGACGGTACCTTGTTCTGATGATGCTCGTCACGGGAGGCACGAAAGCTTAGCACCTTTTCACCGGAATTGAAGGAGACTCGAGGAGGGTAGCATTTGAGCCAATCGACACTCGGTCAAGAGTAATCAGCTGGTGGTCGTCTTGTCGTGGGCTCGAGCTACCAATCACTTGAGCCAAGACTTTCACACGAAATGGAAGTAAACTCAACAATTGTGAAAGAAGAGATTCCGCTAAACACAATCAACCAGACCCGAGCGCTGAGGCGAGCGGACGATTTGTCTTTGATGCGATTGTGCCAGCGAGGCCGAGTGAAGAAGGGCTCGTCAAAAGAGACCCTCTGCAGTTTTGAGAAGACCACCTCGGCTCAGCCAATCAGAGAGCCGCGTCGACCGGCTCACTTTCAGCAGATCCTCATCCAACACGAGCTTGTTGATGCTTTGGGGGCTATTCACGTTCCAGTCGACGAGATGGAAGGACGGGCACGAGAAGAAGGCAAATTGACAGAACAGACCGATTTTGTTCAGCTTACTTTGGTCCGAGCTTTTCAACTTTTCAATTGCCGCTGCCACGTAGACCTTGAGCACCTCCTGAATCGCCTTGGCGACTGGAGCGAATACGAGAACGATGAAGAAGAGCCTCCAGCCCATGAGCATGCTGGAAAATGAGGAAGAAAAGGAAGAGGAGGAATCACAATATGTAGTTTTATATATTTTTTACTGTGTGAATGTGCGAGTGTGTGTGTGTGTGTGCCCAAGTGAGTGTAAAAAGCCATCAGAAGCATAGTTTGTGGGTTTCGAGGCCATCTGTTGATGTGGAAGAAGAAGTTTAATCGTCATATTGTTTGTCTCTGCGGGCCGGAAGTGACAGCCAGTTGTCTACGGATAACTTAAGGCAAGGAAACGAATGAATAATTTCGGAACAGGTTTGCCAAGATTTGTTCAAAGACCCAAGATTGCATAATCCAGAAGGTACTTTTAGATGAGATGCGGTCATCTTGACAGGGTGACAACATGGTACCGAATCTAGCCCAACTAGTGAGCCTTTCGTCGGCAGCCGGTTTCCACGTAATTGATGTAAGGTTTTCGGCCAAGGTCCGAATCGCCAGGTTGCGTGGCTTAAAAGAGGCAATTGGTAAATTGAAACCGACACGAAGTAGGCCCGACTGGTGTTGGGCATTGAGAAACAAAGGATGCAGCAAATTACAAGCTAAAGGTGCAGATTTGACCACAAAAATATGGGCAGACTTTACGATGCCATAATCATCATCATTATCATCATCAGCAGCAGCACAATCACCAACATCGCTATCATCATAGCCATTACAATTACAATCACCACCACAATCATCATAATTATTAGCATCACAATCGCCTTACGTATCCCCACCACATTCACACACATTGTTAACACCATTATCATCATCATCATCAACAATATTGACATCACAATTATCATATCCACTACCACTATCACGATCACCATCATCATCATCATCATCATCACAATCACCAACATCGTTATCATCATAGCCATTACCATTACAATCACCACCACAATCATCATAATTATTAGCATCACCATCGCCTTGACTATCCCCACCACATTCACACACATTGTTAACACCATTAGCATCATCATCACCAACAATATTGACATCACAATTATCATATCCACTACTTCTATCACCATCATCATCATCATCATCATCATCATCATCATCATCATCATCATTTTCATCTTTATTGATAAGGTCACTACCATTACAATGGTCGTCCTCGTCGTCTTCATCATCAGCATCCATATTGTCAGCCCTCACAACGGAATTTTAGACCTAATTCTGCGTGTCCTAGCGACTTATTATGACCATCTACAGTCACAGCTACCAGCATGCCTCATGACGGAACTGTTATGAGCATAATTGTATTGCTGAATTGTGATTAATCGCCGACATCGTATTCGGCATCGTGAGTGAGTCACACAATTCATAAAAAATGTTGTATCTACTCTTCTTAGCACACGTTTGGTCAAAGGATCGCCTTCACTTGTCTCTTTCGACGAGTTGTTGAATGGTGCTCAGAGTGGCGATAATCACTGACGATGCCGGCGAAACGTCTGAGAATGTACCATTTCCACGGTCCTAATCTGGAAATGATGATGCCTACAATGGACTCCGGACTAGGTACCTTCCTCTAAGTCTTTCTACCAACATGACCAATTTGCGAAAACAAGGTCAAACATCCATCTTGGTCTTCATAACTTTAATTAAAGTTACTATTTAAGGCCTACTGATAGTCTCGAAGCCTATTTACTGTAAATAAAAGAAATATCGTCTAGTTTTAAGGGCGAAATAAAGTTTTCCTCATTGTCAAGCCCGGTTACATCAATGTGTAAAATATGCCGCCATCATTCTTGAAAGCGTCTGCGGCAAACTTTGCTAAGTGTACTTTTGTTAGAGCTCCATTTGTACTGAAAACGAATAACATCGCCCATAGCAACGGCAAGGACAAGTTTGCCTATTCGCTTCATTTCCACACCGGCTATGGCAGCTTCCAGTCTGACGAAAGTGTTTACTTGTCTCGAGGACAAACGACAATTGAAGCAATTTCGCCTAACCCTGGCCTGACTGCCTCGCTACCAACGCTCTTACTCCCATCGCCATGTCAACCTGCCGCTTCAAGTCTCACACGACGCATATGCTGGATTGCCCCAACCTGATCAACGTAAAAGTATGCCAGCATAGTTAGTAGTGTGTACCAGTAGTATGTAGTAGGCAGTAGAATAGCACAAGTGCAAATATACACAAAGGCATAATCAGAACCACTGTCACACAACCGAACACAAAAATGTACAAAGACGCATACAAATACATATGCTTATAAATGTGGGTATGCACGAATCTGTACATAAAAACACAGTCAGGCACACACACAAATGCCCACAAACCTCGTCCTATTCGCAAGAGGTAAGACAAAATTGCTGTATCTGTACACTTCAATTTGGCTTCGATCGACGTAGAAGGTACCAGCCAACTCGGACATTTGTCGAGGGTGTGCTGGAGAAGAACAGAAATGGAGGCGGAACAGATCCACCCCTTTTCATGTCGACTCAACTGAACGTCGCCGTGACAAATTGGCACATAATATGAAGGACTGGTAGTAGAATTTTCACACAATGCGATGAGTAGAGCTGACGTTTTCATTGAATTTCATAGAGCCTTGCTTTCCCAAAAGTTGTTCTCACACAGTATTCATCACCTTAAACGAAATAGGGTGAATACATCTC